GGCCAATTGTGCTGATAGTTTTCCTAACACTGAATCAGACCTGCATTCCTGGAATAAATCCCACCTGGTCATAGTGGATTATTCTGCTGATAAAGTAATGTAATCTCTTTGTTAATGTTTTATTTAAAATTTTGGTGTCGATATTCTTTAGGGGAATTGGTCTGTATTTTTCTTTCTGTTTTGACTGTTCCTTGTTTACATAACAGTACCATATTTATGTCATAAAAAGTATTTGTTAAGAATCCTTCTTCAATCATTTTTCCAAATAGTTTATATAATATTGGAATTAATTGTTCTTTAAGTGATTGGTAGAATGTACTTGTAAATCCATCTAGCCCTGGAGATTTTTCTTAGGGAATTCATTAATGGCTTGTTCAGTTTCTTCTTTTGAAATGAGGTTATTTAAGTATTTTCATCCTCTTCTGAAAATCTGAGCAGTTTATATTTTTGTAAATAATTATCTGTTTCACTTAAATTGTCACATTTATTGGCATAGAATGGGCAAAATAGCTCCTAATTATTGCTTTGACTTCCTCTTCGCTGGCAGTTCATTAATTCTTTTCATTTTTGATACTGGTCATTTGGTTTTCTTCTTCCATTTTAAAAATCAAATTAACCAAAGATTCATCTATTTTATTGTGTTTTTTTTTCATAAACCAGGTCTGAGTTTTAGTAGTTCAATAGTTTTCTTACTTTCAATTTTATTAATCTCTCCTTCGATTTTTCATAATTTCTAAGTTAGTATTTAATTGAGGATTTTGAATTTGTTCTTTTTCTAGCTTTTTGAGTTGCAAGCCCAATTCATTGATCTATTTGTTCTCTTTTTAGTTATATAAGCATTTAAAGATATATAATTTCCCCTAGGAACTGCTTTGGCTGAATCCCATAAGTTTTGGTATGTTGTCTCATTGTTGTCATTCTCTTTTTTGAAGTTATTGATTGTTTCTATAATTTGTTGTTTGACCCACTCAGTCTTTAGGATTAGATCATTTAGTTTCCAATTAGTGTTTTAGCTTACCTTTCTATTGCCCTTTATTATACATAATTTTCATTGCATCATGATCTGAAAAGGATGCATTTAATGTTTCTGCCTTTGTGCATTGGAATGTGAGGTTTTTATGACTTAAGACATGGTCAAGCTTTGTGTAGGGTGCAATATACCACTGAGAAAAAGGAATATCCCTTTCAGTTTTCTCCATAGGTCTACCATATCTAACTTTTCTAAAGGTCATCCCCTTAAGTTCTTCCTTGTTTATTTTGTGATTAAATTAACTAGTTCTGGAAGGGAAGGGTTGAGGTTCTCTACTAGTATTGTTTTGCTATTTCTTGATGTAACTCACTTAATTTCTCCTCTAAGAATTTGGATGTTATACCACTAGGTGCATATATGTTTAGTATTAGTATTACTTCATTGTCTATGTTACCTTTGAGCAAGATGTAGTTTCCTTCCTTATCTCTTTTAATTAGATCTATTTTTGCCTTTGCTTTATCTGAGATGAGAGTTGCTACCCCTGCTTTTTTATTTTGTATTCTGCTGTAGCCTTTTGCCTTTTGGTTTTACTCTGTGTGTTATCTCTTTACAGCAAATGTGGATTGTAAACAACATATTGTAAGATTTTGATTTTCAATCCACTCCGCTATCTATTTCTGTTCTATGGGAGACTTCATCCAAGTCACATTCACAGTTATGGTTACTAACTGTATATTTCTCTCCATCCTATTTTTCTCCCTACTTATACTTTTCTCTTTCCTTTCACCTTTTCCCTCCTCACCAGTATTTTGCTTTTGACCACTTTCTCCTTCAATCTGCCCTCTCTTCTATCCACCCTTTTTCAATTTCTTTCCTCTTTCCCTTCTTTCTTTTCTATATGGCAAAATAAATTTATATACCAAATGAGTGTGTATGTTATTCCTCTTTTCAGCTAAATCCAATGAGAGTAAGGGTCAAACAACATTTCCCTCCTTCCCTTCTTTCCCTGTAATAGGTTTTTTGCACCTTTTCATCTGATATAATTTACCCCATTTGCCTCCCACTTTCCTTTTCTTCCAGTATAATCTATTTTTTACCTACTTTTTAAAATATCATCAGAGAAAAGTCGACTTAGATCCACTGTCAATACATACCTCTGAAAACTGCCCTAATAGAGATAAAGTTCTCAAGAATTACAAGTATCATCTTCTTGTGTTGGTATGTAAACAGTTAAAATTTATTAAATAACATTTGTCTTTTCTGTTAACTTTTTTATGCTTCTATTAAGTTCTGTATTGAAGATCAAATTTTCTGTTCAGCTCTGCTGTTTTCATCTTGAAAATTTGAAAATACCATATTTTGTTGAATCCCCATGTTTTCCCCTGAAATATTGTGCTCGATTTTGCTGGGTAGTTGATTCTTGGTTGTAATCCAAACCTCTTTGCCCTATGGAATATTGTATTCCAAGCCTTCTGATCCTTTAATGTAGAAGCTACTAAGTCCTGACGGTCTCTCCTTGAATTCTTTCTTTCTGGCTGCTTGCAGTATTTTCTCCTTGACCTGATAATTTTGAATTTTTCCTACAATATTCCTTGGAGTTTTCATTTTGGGATCTCTTTCAGGAGGTGATCAACGGATTCTTTCAATTACTATTTTACCCTTTGGTTATAGGAGTTCAGGGCAGTTTTCCTTGATAATTTCTTGAAAGATGCTGTCCAAGTTTTTTGTTTGTTTGTTTGTTTGTTTTGACCATGACTTTCAGGTTTTCACTAATTTTTAAATTATCTCTCCTGGATCTATTTTCCAGGTCAGCTGTTTTTCCAATGAGATGTTTTACATTTTCATCTATTTTATCATTCTTTTGATTTTGTTTGACTGATTCTTGATGCGTAATGGAGTCATTAGCTTTCACTTTTCCAATTCTAATTTTTAAGGAATTACTTCCTTCGGTTAGCTTTTGTACCTTCTTTTCCATTTGGCCAATTCTACTTTTAAGGAGTTTTTTTCTTCAGTAGATTTTTTTCACCCATTTGACCAATGATATTTTTTAAGGAATTGTTTTCTTTAGTCAATTTTTGTCCTTCCTTTTCCAGGCTGTTGAGTCTCTTTTCATACAACTCATTTCTTTTCCTAATTTTTTCCCTATGTCTCTTATTTGATTTTTAAATCCCTTTGGAGCTCTTTCTTCCAAGAAGGCTTTCTGGGCTTGGAATAAATTCATGGTCCCCATCGAGGCTTTGCCTGTAGGTATTTTGGTGTTCTTGCCCTTATCTGAGTTTGTGTTTGGATCTTCCCTGTACCTTGAGTAGCTTTCTATGGTCAGGGCTCTTTTCTGGTTATTTTGCTCGTTTTTTAAAGTTGTGATCTGCCCCTGGGGCACAGAAGGCATTGTCCCTAGCATCTTGTGCTCCTGGTCAAGGACATGGTCACTGGCTTTCAGCTCTGGCGCTTGGGGCACTGGCTGCTTGCCCACTGAACTGGAGTTGTCTACCCTAGTCATGCCTGTTGTGCTCTGAGTTTTATGTCTACTGAACAGGGGATAGAAGCTTCATAACTTGCCTGCTTTGACACTGGCCTCTTGAGCCAGTACCACAAGGCCTCAGTGACTGATCTTTGCTGAGGCTAAGAGCCTCCCACTGACTTGCCCAGACACCACCTGTCATGGGCTCTTCTCCCTTTTTGCCAATTGAGACAATATTTTCCTGAAGTCTTTCAAAGTTCTCTTGGGTTGGAAAATTGTTCCACTTCTGTGCATTCTGTCACTCCAGAAATCTTTTAGAGGCTTGATGTAACATTGTTTCTGAGGGAAACTGGGAGAGCTCAGACAGCTTCCTGGCTTCTCTTCACCATCTTGGCTCTGCCCCCCAGTAACGTACATTGTATTGCATTATTTATGAAATTGGAACTTAATACATCACAATTTGTTTCTCTAGCAATTTTAAAAGTAATATATTATTTTCTCTCAGTTACATATAAATGCAATTTTAAACATTCATTTAAAAAAAGCTTTTGAGTTCTCCCTCCCTAATTTCTACCCCCTTAGACAGTAAGCAATTTGATATGTTTTACATATTCAATCATGTAAAACAAAATTAGTCATGTTGTGAAAGAAAGACTCAAAGAAAAAGAAAATATGAAAAAAACAGTGAAAGTGAAAAATACTGTGCTTCAATCTGCATTCAGACTCCATCAGTTCTTTCTATGGAGGTTGAGAGCATTTTTTATCATGAGTCCTTTGGAATTTTCTTGGATCTTTGTTTTGCTTAGAATAGCTAAGATTTTTTTACAGTTTGATTATTGTGTGGTATTACTATTACTGTGTACAGTGTTCTCCTGGTTCTCACTGGTGACTTTTCAAGAATGCTTCCATACAATTATATGTGCTATACTTTCAAGGGTATTTTAAAATAAATTTTATATTTTCAGTTGCCTTTTGACAACTTTTCTCTGCCTTCTCCCCTTTTTACTCTCCTTTCTATAGAGGAAGAGAAGTAAGCCCCTTGTTAAAAACATGTATAGTCAAGCAAAACATATTTCCCCACTCACCATGTCCAAATACAAATTGTTAATAGTAGTGGTGGTGGTGGTGGTGATAGTAATGGTAGTGAAGTACAAAAATCTTTTGGCTAATCATTTGGCTAAGTAGCTTTGCTTACAGTTATCGAGTTAGTAAATTGATTAGAGGAATCTCAAGGCTCTTATTTCAATTATTTGTTGGTGATGATGTTTTGATATAAATAGACATGAAAAATGAAAGACTGGGTGCTGAAAACAAAATTGTTGGTAATTCTGCTGTTGATTTATTTGAATCTTTATGAACAAAACTGAGAACACAAATGGAAAGCATATTTCAGTTATTATATCATATTGCCTTTATTCATGAGATGAGCTTCCTTTTAGGTAGGATAGGGCAAAAATTTTTTAAGTCTTTGGTTTGTTAAGATAGGAAGAAGATATATAAGCAGATATACACTTTTAAAAAATCCATCAGGAGAAAACTGAAGGAAAGTAATCATTATTTTTCTTCAAAATGATAGGTCCATTCTCATTTGTCCATCTCATTTTTGGAATAGCCCAATTTCTTGCAGGAATTATGGCAAATGGAATCATTATAATAGTAAGTGGCCTTGAGTATATCAAGAAGAAAAAGGTGACTGCATATGACCTCCTTCTGACCAGTCTGGGAATCTGCAGAATTTTTTTGCAAGTGTTAATACTTGTGAGCAATGTGAAGCTTTTCTTGATTATAGAATTATGTATGGGCCAGGGAGTCTTTATATTTTTCTTTTTCGTAAATGAAATTAATCTTTGGCTTTCTACCTTCCTTTGTGTCTTCTACTGTGTGAAGATTGCCAACATTGTCCACCCCTTCTTCTTCTGGTTGAAGATGAGGATCTCTAGATTTGTGCCATGGTGGATTCTGGCATCATTGCTAATTTCATCTGCCATTTCTGTGTGCCACAACCTATTGTATTGGCCAGAGGCCAAAAAGGAGCTAAGAAAAATTTTGGCAGGAAATAGCACTACCCAAGATCTTTTCCAGTATATGCTTCCTACTCAAATTCTTGTTGTGGGTTTGGCAATGCCATCATGCATGTTCAGTGTTGCATCGTTTATGCTGATCTATTCTCTGTGTAGACACACCAGATGGATGAGAAACATGGCAACTGGATCCAGAGACCCAAGCACCGAAGCTCATATTTGTGCCATGAAACTGATATTTTCCTTCCTTGTCCTCTATACCTCCTATTATGTTGGGGTACTGGTAACATTTTCTAAATTTCCCATAGGGAGTGAATTTTTGCAGTTTCTTTTGTTCTCAGTGGCTGCCTTATTCCCCTCTGGACACTCCATCATCTTAATTCTAGGAAATTCAAAGCTGAAGCATTATACAAGAAAGTTTCTGCTGTCTGCTAAGTGGTGTCAGGGAGGAGGTTCAGCACTAGACTCTACATAGACCCAATAAAGCATGCTATTTCTAAACCTGCATCACTTTATTGTAGGTGGTAACTTATCAGTTTGATGTGCTTTTAGGTTTTAAAAAAAGGGCAAATTCATGAAAATGTCACCCTTCTGGAATATTCAATTGATTATCAGGATTACTTGTTTATTTAGAAGGTCAGGACTCATCTGCATAGTTAATACTGAAGTCCAGGTAAAGGCTGTTTCTCCTGTTGTTTCAAGGACTGGCTGCACATCTGCTCTCCTCTGGTATATCCGTATTTGGGGATACTCCCAAAACAGTCCTATAGGTCACAGAAAAAGAAGGCAATTCCCTCCCTTGTCACCAGAGGGGAAGGTGATTACAAGCTTGACTTTTTTCCCCATTTGTCAGACTGAATTCTCAAATGCTGCAGGTATGTCAGCTACTAAAATGCACAAACATATGGAGGAAGATTTGCAACTCCAGTGTTCAGATCAGTTTGCCTTAATTGCATAGATAAAAGAGGTACAAAGGTGTTTCAGGTTGCATTTGTCCACATAGCTATGGAACTCTTTTCCTTGGAGGTAGTAATTTTCAAACATGTATTCCCAGAGGCAGAAGCATCACAAGTGGGCAGGGGCTGGAGATGTTTCCATTTTTTTATAGAAAGAAATTAAATTTTAACTTCTTTTAAATGAATTTTGTCTTAAGATTATATTTAGAAAAAATTGTTTCATTTTTTTTTCTTCTAGGGTAAAGGTATGCAGCACACAATTCTATCAATTTAGGCTATAGTTTTTTTTCGGGGGGAGGAGTGGTTGGGGTTTAGGAGCCTGAGTGAATTTGTAAGGGTTAGGAATTCCTGATCATTAACTATGCTCTAGATGTTAGTATCTTTTTGTCCAATGTTCAAACCCTTAGGTTGTATATATCAAGCAGCAATAAACTCATAAGTAGTGGTTCTTTACCTGAAGTTTCCATGTGAACTTGTTTTTAAAATGTTTCAATAATTATTCCTAATATAAGTAGTTTCCTTTGTAATCATATATATTTTATTTTGTTCATTTAAAAACATCACTGTAGGAAGAGTTTAATACAGTTCACCAGACTTCCAAAGGGGTCCATTGTGCAAAAAATGTAAAAAAAAAATCTTCCACAAAGGGATTTCCTTCCCTGGTTTATTGAAAAAGGAGGTACAAATGTTAACTGAAGAAAATAATTCTTAAAAATTAGAATTGGAAAAGTGAAAGATAATGAGTCTCTGAGACATCAAGAATCAGTCAAACAAAATTTTTAAAAAATGAAAAAATACAAGAAAATATAAAACACCACATTAGAAAAACAACTGACCTGGACAATAGACCCAGGAGAAATAATTTAAAAATTAGTGAAAAGCCAGAAAGCCATGATAAAAAAAGAACATGGACAGCACCTTTCAAGAAATTATCAAGGAAAATTTCCCTGAACTGCTAGAACCAGACGGTAAAATAGTCATTTCAGGAACCCACTGATCACTTCCTGAAAGAGATCCCAAAATGAAAACTCCCATGAATATTGTAGTGAAATTTCAGAATTATCAGGTCAAGGAGAAAATACTGCAAGCAGCCAGAGAGAAACAATTTAAACATTGTGAAACTACAGTCAGGATTATGAAGTATTTAGCAGCATCTACATTAAAGAATCAGAAGGCTTGTATTATGATATTCTGGAATGCAAAGAACCTTGCATTATAACCAAGAATCAACTACGCAGCAAAACTGAGCATAATCTTTCAGGGGAAAAAATGGACATTCAGTGGAATTGGGGACTTTAAATATTTCTTGATGGAAATAAATTGCAGAATAGGGAAAACTACATCACATAAAGAGGCCCAAGACCTATTACAGTAGATAGAAAAAAGGGAGAGAGGAGAGCATTGCTGAGCCTTACTCTCATCAGATTTGGCTGAGAGAGGGAACAACATACATGTCAGTTGGTTATAGAAATCTATCTTATTCTATAGGGAAGTAGGAGGGAAAAGGTGAAAAGAAAAGGAAGGGGGTGAATTGAAAGGAGAGAAGAAGGGAGGAGAGAAGTAGTATGGGAAAGGGGAAAGAAAAGGGGGACTAAATAGAATAGAGGACAGATTGAGGGAGGCAGTGGTCAGAATTAAAACACTGATGAGGAAGGAAAGGGTTAAAGAAGAGATAAAAGTACAAGCTGGGAATGAAATAGGATGGAGAAAAAGACAGAGTTAGTAACTGTTAATGTGAACGGGATGAACTCTGCCATAAAAGCGAAGTGGATAGCAGAGTGGATTAAAAACCATAATCCTACAATATGTTGTTTACAAGAAACACATATGAAAAAGAGAGTCAAGATAAAAGGTGGGACCAGAATATATTGTGGTTCTGCAGGAGTTAAAATAAAAAAAAGCAGGGGCAGCAATCTTAATCTCAGAGAAAGCAAAAGCAAAAATAGATCTATTTTTAGATCTAAATATAATAAATATCTAAATAAATAGATCTAAAAATAGGTCATTCCCTTTCATGATTTGTTGTTTGACCCATTCATTCTTTAGGATTAGATTTAGTTTCCAATTGCTTTTTAGCCTATTCTAATTCCTTCAATTCCTTTTTCTCCTGTTATTGCTAAGGTTAACATTTCTAGTACAATATTGAATAGCAGTGATGATAATGGACATCCTTGTTTCACCTCTGATCTTATCGGGAATGCTTCTAGTTTATCGCCATTACATATAATGTTTACTGATGGTTTTAGAAAGATAATGCTTATCATTTTAAGGAAAGCTCCCTTTATTGCTATGCTCTCTAGTGTTTTTAATAGGAATGGGTGCTATGTTTTGTCAAAAGTTTTTCAGCATCTACTCAGATAATCATATGATTTCTCTTAGATTTGTTGTTGATATGGTCAGTTGAGCTGATAGTTTTGCTAATACTGAATCAAACCTGAATTCCTGGCATAAATCCTACCTGGTCATAGTAAATTATTCTGCTGATAAATTCGTGTAATCTCTTTGTTAATATTTTACTTAAAATGTTTGTATCAATATTCTTTAGGGAAATTGGTCTGTATTTTTCTTTCTCTGTTTTGACTCTTGTTTACATATCAGTGCCATAGTTTTGTCATAAAAAGAATTTGTTAGGAATCCTTCACTCATTTTTCCAAATAGTTTATATAATATTGGAATTAATCATTCTTTAAATGTTTGGTAGAATTCACTTGTAAATTGGTCTGCCCCTGGAGATTTTTCTTAGGGAATTCATTAATGGCTTGTTTAATTTCTTTTTCTAAAATTAGGTTATTTAAGTATTCTCATCCTCTTATATTTATCTGAGCAATTTTTATTTTTATAAATATTAGTCTTTTCCACTTAAATTGTCACATTTATTGGCATAGAGTTGGGCAAAATAGCTCCTCATTACAGCTTTGAGTTCCTCTTCACTGGTGGTTCATTAATTCTTTTCCTTTTTGATGCTGGTCATTTGGTTTTCTTTGTTTTTTAAAATCAAATTAACCAAAGGTTCATGTATTTTATTGTTTTTTTTTCATAAACTAAGTCTGTTTCTTGTATTAGTTCAATAGATTTCTTACTTTCAATTTTATTAATCTCTCCTTTGATTTTTCATAATTTCTAATTTAGTATTTAATTGAGGATTTTGAATTTTTTCTTTTTCTACCTTTTGAGTTGCAAGCCCAATTCATTGATCTTTTTTTTAAAATCTATTCTAGTTATGTAAGCATTTAAAGATATGCAATTTCCCCTAGGAACTGCTTTGGCTGAATCCCATAAGTTTTGGTATGTTGTCTCATTGTTGTGATTTTCTTTGATGAAGTTATTGATTGTTTCTGTGATTTGTTGTTTGACCCACTCATTCTTTAGAATTAGATTATTTAGTTTCCAATTAATTTTTAGCCTATCTTTCCATGGCCCTTTATTACACATAATTTTCATCACATCATGATCTCTCCTGCATTTATTTTCCAGGTCAGTTGTTTTTCCAATGAGGTATTTTACATTTTCTCCTATTTTTTCATTCTTTTTATTTTGTTTGACTGATTCTTGATGCCTCATGGAGTCATTAGCTTTCACATTTCCAATTCTAATTTTTAAGGAATTATTTTCTTCAATTAGTTTTTGTACATTCTTTTCCATTTGGCCAATTTTTCTTTTAAGGAGTTGATTTCTTCAGTGGATTTTTTCCACATTTGGCCAATTGTATTTTTAAAGAATTGTTTTCCTTAGTCAATTTTTGTCCTTCCTTTTCCAAGCTGTTGATTCTCATTTGCTTACAGCTCATTTCTTTTCTTAATTTTTGTTCTACATCTCTTATCTGATTTTTAAAATCCTTTTTGAGCTCTTCCAAGAATTCATATTCCCCTTTGAGTTTTTGCATGTAGACATTTTGATGATGTTGCCCTTTTCTAAGTTTGCATTTGGATCTTCCTTGTAGCCATAGTAGCTTTCTATGGTCAGGGCTCTTTTCTGTGTGGTTTTTTTTTTTTTTGCTGTTGTTCATTTTTAAAAGTTGTGCTCTGTTCCTAGGGCACAGAGGCACTGTCCCTAGCATCTTGCTCTGTGGTCCAAGGACCTGGTCACTGGTTTTCAGCTCTGAGGCTTGAGGTGCTGGCTGCTTGCCCTCTGAGCTGGGGTGGTCCAGACTAGTCATGCCTGTTGTGCCATGAGTTTCAGGGTTGGCAATGTGTCTGCTGCACAGGAGCTAGAGGCTTCATAATTGGCTGTTGTGTCACTGGCCTCCTGAGCCAGGACTACAGGGCCTCAGTTACTGACCTTTGCTATGGCTAAGAGCCTCCACTGAATTGCCCAAACAATACCTGTCATGGGCTCTGCTCCCCTTTTTCCATTTGAGACAATATTTGCTGAAGTCTTTCAAAGTTCTCTTGGGTTGGAAAATTGTTCTATTCCATCTTTTTGTGGGTTTTGCCATTCCAGAAATGTTTTTGAAGCTTGATTTAATGATGCTTTTGAGGGAAACTGGGGTAACATACTTTTTATTGTGTTATTTATGAAA